TTAACTATTTGAATCGATACGTCGGTATCAATTGCTCACTGTATTACGTTTTTTTTTTCAAATAGACGAAATTTGATTAATAACCAGCTTGCTACTTCAAGCGAAATTTTATACTGTTGGAGTTTCATAAGAAAGACTTCTTTTGCGAATAAGCTTCTCTCTCCGTAAATTAATTACATTTGAAGTTTGACGAGGTATGATTATATTCACTGGTTGATTGAAATTCATTTTTTCGCGTCTGCGTGGTGAAGAATACACATTTTTCTTAATCAAAAACAAACTTTTGATCAGCCAGTGATTTCAATCCCATCCAGCCAAAAATCAAACTCAATCTAAAACAAAAAAAGTTGTCTGCCAATCATCTGAATAGTTCAAACTGAATTTTCGTATTCTCTGACATTATTGAAAGGCTTCTGGAGTAAATATGGACTTTGTATAAACATTTGCATATGACCTTCGACGAAGTTTAATTCAATTCACTGTAGGAGGGTCACTATCTTCTTAGCTTAAAATAAGTTCAAATTATCGTTAATATAAATGCAGAATACATATATATTAATTTCTTTTATAATTTATATATTAAAACGCATAAATTATCATAGTTTATTATTATGTATTCTAAGGGTATGGGTGTCAATATTGATCTTAGACAAACCAACACCCATGCTCACCGATACCCACACACCCTGCTAGTGTGAGTGCACTCAGAGAACACCCACAACCATGTCCATGCACACACACACACCCACACCCTTCATCATAAAGATAGTCTATACAGAATTATTCTTTTGAATTTTTCTGGAAAAAAGTATTCTGCCTTTTTTGGTACTCTTTCGTGGCTAATATTGTCAATTACAAAAACATTTTTGCTACTGTTAGAATAAAAATTTTTACATTTCAATATTAGGTTGTTTATTTATTTATACATATCTACATATTATATTTCAAAACAACCTTCGTTTTCGACTTTGCTCTGCCTTCAGGAGCGAAACGTTGATGGCAAGGATTTTTTTGTTATTCTTTCCTTTGATTTTTGCTTAATTGTTGCTTTCTTCGTTATGTACACATACTGCATTGAAATATTGCACAGAAATCATATAAAGCAGCAGTCACCACACAAAAGACAGTTCATTTTCGTTTTTTTTTCTATGGGTTAGCATTAATGACAGAGATTTCCTACTATCCCTTCCGTGAGTTATATCCCATTAGTTGCTCTTCTGGTAAGTACAGAAACTATGCCAAGCAACAGCCACGATGAAAAACAACTCTTGTTTTCTTATTTTCTTTTACTCGCATAGTTTGACATTGATAATTGGCGCCTATACAATTTTATATTCTCTTTATATTCTCTCCCTTCTTTGTTTGTGTACCAGTCGTTGCCTTCTCTGACAGGTAGACTGATTCTACTCAAGAGATAACAGAAATCACAGAATGAAGGATACACGACGCAAAGCGACCTTCATCTTTCATTCCGTTCCTTCTTCTAGAGAGAAGCATCGATCAGAAAGAGAAGTTAGTTTTCTTTCGTCATTCCATTCTCTGATACTTTGCTATTTGCGTGAGCAGTTGTCATCGCCGGTGAGTACATATATTTTATTGAATTGGTGGAAGGAAATTACAAAAAGGACGAGATAATAATTTCAGCGAACCTTTCTTGTTGATTTCTTTTTCTGCTGGAATGCTCGTTTATTAATATTAAGTTGACAGGTGTGCTATCATTGTGATATTTTCTCCGTTTGCTCATTTCTGCATTGGTGGCATATCAACGAAGTATGGGATTTCTTTGTATAGCTGGGAATGAGTATCTTACAGAAAGGATCAATGATTTAACATAAACTTCGTCATCCATTTTCTTCTTTGTTTGGTATGTCGACGGCTCATAGCTTTCTAGTTTCTGGAAGACAGGGGTTCCGCTCTGTGAAATCTCTCTTATGGTTAACATCACAATAGAAATAGTTGATTAATCACGATAAGATGAAGCGATAATTGTGAGCTCTAACTTAAAAAATCGTTTTTTCTGTTGTTTTTAAGATCTGAAGAGTAAATCATGACTGTACTATAGACTAACCAGACTTCGCGCACATTGTATCGATGATTTTTCGTTAAGTAATATCTTCTACTTTACATGTTTCTGGTCATGCATTCTCTATCTCTCCATCCCTTATGTTCTATTTATAGCTCTGTGTATGTCAGTGATTTATACACAATATATAGTTTTCTCGATGCTATTCCGCAAGCGCAGGATTCATCCGTTGGATTGCTGCTTTCAGAGATACACATGAATATTTCTGTGGGCTCTCTATCATGTTCACGGTCAAGATTTTTGATCTATGTGAAATTTTGGGAGTTTGTGGAGGTGTTTCACACTCACTGTTTTTTCTTTGGAAAAATATATTGCGTGAAAATGATTATCGTTTCATATTTTGACGATTTTCCTCGATCGAACTAATGATATTGGAATTCTGAGCTCAGATTCAGATAGCGTCTTAAAAATTGCACCACGCACTATATTTTTGAAGATAAAACGATTTCTTCTCGCGTCTCTTCCCTCTACACTCTTGATCTCTCCTCGAAAAGTCCTAAAAATGTTCAATTGAAAAATCGTTCCATCTTCGAATTCGTAGATTTAGTGATATATACGGTTGCAAAAAGTGAATGAAGATCTATTTAATAGTGTACTTGATTATCGCCCAGAATTCGATTCTGAATTTAAAAATCAATTGAAAATAAAAATATCGATGAGATTTTTGGAGAATATCAAGAGAGAGGTTGCTACAGTATCGGCTAACCGTCTGCAGACAAGATTGAATTATTGATTCGAGTGTCTCATATGAAAGTCCATTTACCAAAGCCTCTACAATTACGTATGAATTCTTTCTGATTAGTTCATAAAGAATGCCATTGGTTATACTATCTCGCACCCTGTGACATTGCTCAAAAACTTACTTTTTCGGACGTAATTTTCCCAAAATTCTTATAATTATATCTTTGTGTTGTTATGTTCAATTAGTCTGAAATCTAGACGTTGTGTCTATTTTTTGATGCGCTTTCGATTGGTGATGACGAAAAATTAATGTAATCAAATCAAATTTTCCAGAATTTTTAAAGCTTTTCAAGGTTAGTCATATCACCTAACAGCACTGGAGGTAAGTGAGATATTTCTTCTGAGCATGAGAACTTGCAAACCACATTAAATTGAGCATTTTCTATATGTTTCGTAACAAAACAATCTCGATGAAAGGAAACTGAGAAACAACAATGTAATTCGTCGTTACAGAGATTTTTAAATGGCACTCAAAGGGTGGGTGTGGGCGTGGGTGTGAGTGTGCGGGTATGGGTGTGGATGTTAGCGTCCATGATGAATCACTTGGACGCTAAACAATGATTAAGATGCGCCTTCTAGTCTAATTGGCTTAGGACAAAGGCCAGGATAGCAGAAGGTATGGGTTCGATTCCCATGAAGGTCATCTTTTTCACCGTTCTGTCACATAACATCAGTGACACTGCTTGTCTCTTTCGTTCTATACATATTAGAGCCAACACTGGGTGTGACTGTTAGTACCGATGTTTAAGTCATCCGATTCCCGCCTCCCATCCATACCCACACTCACCCACACCCACACCCATACCCCCACCCCACACCGACACCTACACCCTCTATGTTTTGATTGTATTAGCCTTAGCTGTTCAGGATTAATGTTTTGAAATATATCTATCGATTTTAGTTGACTCAAGTATGTAAATATTGGTTATCGTAAACTGTATACATTTCCATATAACAAAAAGTGCCAAGCATCCTGCAATTTTCAGTGGCAGTGTGTGAGTGTGGGCAGCTGTTGGTGTGAATGTGCAGCTTGTTTTGTCCTATCCCTTACATGTACAGCAACGGACCCATATCGATATGCATTCCTTAAATCTCCAGGTCGAAGATTCCGGCCACCGGATCCCACAGAATTCTGCAGAAAAGATGCGGGAAAATTCACCATTTCCTGAAGGAAAGCATCGGAAGTCGCCGAATCAGGGTGGAAGTATTCCGGCCTGAAAATTTTCGGATTTTTTTGGTGACTTCCGAACATCTTTCCAGCACGAAACGGGAGGAATTTGATCAGAAGTCACCAGAAAAAATCTGAAAATTTTCCAGCCAGAATACTGCTACGCTGTTCCGGTGACTTCCGATGCTTTCCCACCTGAACCCAATCGTACTTCTCGACCTGGGTCGCGCCCATCTACACATCCATATTCCGCACATTCTCACTTATTCAAATTCTCTCTCAGAATAACTTTATGCTACGGATGGCAGAAGTCTGTATTTTTCTTCAAATTCGGCGGTTAACTTTTTCAGTAAGCTTTGAATACAATTCAGAACTCTCTAGAATATTGATAGATAAAACCTTAGGAAGAAGTAGTTTTTCTGGCAAATAAGAGTGTCTAATATAAACTAGCAGCTGTTGTCTTTGCACACCATCGTGACATTTCAAGATAATGCAAAACAATTTTTAACGCTTCTTCTGTTCCAATTCTTTTCAAAGCTAATAATGCATTTGCATTCACATATCGATTTTTATCCAGATAGAGTGCTTCTTTTAGACTAGGTATTGCTTGTATTGCTTTGACGCCAAGTTTAGCCAAGGATAATGCAGCCGTAAGTCTCATATGGGATGCTTCTTTAGGATCTTCCAGATGATCTCGACCCGCAAGAACATTTGTTAAACATGATATGACCGTGTCAATATAATGTTGCTCATTTACTTGGATAGTTCCCAGGGCTTCACAACAGTATTGTTTCACTAAATATGAATGACTTTTTTCAATGATGTGTATCAATAATGGTAAAGTATTCAGTGCTGCTGAACCCATTTCGGAAAAGATGAATGCTATACAATATGCTATGGGTTCATTGTTTTCTTCTCTTATTAGCACTGTTTGTAATTCATCGATTGCCTCTTTATTATATCGACTAGCCGTTAATGCATATGCTGCTTCGAAACGAGGAATTTCTTCGTTCTTATATAATTGTTGGATTAAAATATTGTATTCGTTATTCAAAGCTAAATTATAAGCTGCATTAAGACGGATTTTCCCACAATGATCACTGAGCTGTGTTTTCCACATGTTAATATCTTGATCAGTGGTAAGTTCTTGTAAGATAATGTCACGACCTATCATCCAGTTCCAGACATGCTTGACAATTGGCTGTAATAATCCTGCATCAGCTGCGTCGTAAGACGCATTTGTCGGGTCATGATTCCATGTTGGCTGATTTGGCTCTTCAATTCGAGTAAACTGGAATTTAAACATATAACGATGCGAACGATTTGTTAGATTGGCTGTTCCTCTGTGCACAATATCATAGTGAATTAACAGCACAGTACCGGCTGTGCAAACTAGAGAAATATCGTGATCGTCACTTGTTGTATTCGGATTTTCTAGTGTTTCAGAATGTGAATACATTTTCGGATGCTTAACATCGTATTGTGATCGAGGTATGATAGCAGTGGGTCCCATCTCAATAGTTGTATCTTGAGGATAATACATGGCCATGGTATAACGTAATTGATGATGACGAAGTGGCTTTCGATAACCAAAGTAACTGTCTTTATGCCATGTCTGGTCTGCAGTTCCCGGACGTGTTACATGCGCATGGCGATGCGGTTGCATGGTGTAATTTGAACCCAATAAGCTTATTAATGCACCTTTAATTACTGGATCATCGAATACATACTGAAGTTGAGGAATTTGTGGAAGAATATTGTTTCCTGGATTGGCATCTTGTTGGAAAATTGACTCAGCTTCAGTAAATATTGATGAGTGAAAATTTCTATCAAGGGAGATGGGTTGAAGAATCAAATAACCATTGATTAAAAACTCCTGCACTTGCTTGTCTGTTAGCAATAATGGTGTCTCCATCATTTGCGTGCTTAGTAAACTAAAAAAGCCAACATGGTGTTGCCTTTGTTTTTCATGATGCAAAGAAATATATTTCATCATAAATTCTTGCACCATGTATGAGTCATTCATGAACGCTTAAGAGAATATAGAATGAAAAAACTGTAATGACGTCTTACCATGTAACTTGTGAAAGTTATTGAAACAGAAAAAAGTCATCTATATACCGTGTTTTTCAGACGTGTTGTTTGAAAGGTCGGATTTATGCAGGATAATTTCGCACAACATTTGCGGGCGAAAAGCTATGAAATGTAACTTGAAAGTAGATCCTATGAATCGACGAAAAGCGCTTTTCAAATGCTGTAGTCATAAAATAGCCAATAAGATGGGTGTGGGTGTATAAGATAATAGAAGCTGCGCAATCACTTAAACCTACACACACACGCTCAGCCATCAGGTATAGGGGGATAAAAAAAAGAAAAAAGAAAAAAGAACAGAGAGAGTAAGAATAAACAGCTTTGAGAAGGGGTTATACATCGAAGAACATATATGATGTAATAAAGTCGTCATATGTCATACACACAGAGATGATCGAAGTTTTGTTATTATGATGTCGATCGAAGAATGATCAACTATCAGAGGAGAGTAGAGCATAGTTTTTACTATCTGACTCTGTGGAAAGAATATTTTTTTAAGCTTTTTATAAGAAATCAAATTGTCTGTATCAAGCTTTTCGCTTGTCATAAGTGTTTAATCAAATAAACAAATATTCAAGTAAATCATACATTTTAAGCTGTCAACTCAATATTTGAAAAATTCTTAAGTAAAGTATATCAACATATCCGTCAACGGATATGTGACTTGAGATGCGTGATAGCTATGTCAAGATGCTACTTCGTGGGCGATGGCAAGAATCATTGGTACAAAAAGTTTCCTCGTGTATGATTGCATCGAATTGATTAGATATCACAATGAAATTCTACAGAACTTAAGATAAAACGCGTTTTCCTATCAAAAACAAATCGTGTGCTCTTTATTGCAGATATTGGTCAACGACTACTCTATTGCTAACTAAAGAGAAGTAAATCTTGTTTAGAAGGAGGGTACCTATCTTTCTAACTCCGGACCTTTTTTCTTATTCAAGGTAACTCAGGGTGTTGAGCAAAATATAAAACTTTCTTGCCAAAGATTGTTTTGATTTTTCGAATAATTTTTAGTAATTCATAACAAAGCTGATACAAAAATCGAAATCGTGAATATAATAACTTAAACATTCAACAAAATGGTAACACAAGATTGTCATTCGTCCGGGTAATGTGACGGTTTACTTTCGTGAAGTCCTGTGAGCTGTGTTCTCTTCTAGTTTCNGTCCTGGTTGCTTTATCTACTGAAGAACTTATTATTTGAGGTCGTTTAACAATTAAAACAAGAAAAAAAGCAGTATTTCAATGCTTTTTCAAAAAATATTCGGAATAAATTATTACGTTCGTTGTACTCCCTTGCATTCCTTTGTACTCCCATGTACTCCCTTGTACTCCCATGGACTCCCGTGTACTCCCGTGTACTCCCGTACTCCGAGTACGTGATTTCCCCCTTGCTGTAATATCAGAAGAATTGTGACCAGCACGCTTGTCGTCATTATACACCTGAGATAGTCCACCTAGTACAAGCTGAAACTGTTCTAGACAAGCAACAATCGTATGGTGATAGCTGCTTATTTTTATAGTCTTTATCACATGGTTAAAAAGTGTGTTTGTCCTTTTCCTTCATCAATTGGGATGAAAAAATATTTTTTGTCTCGGATGCATATAACTACTTTTCTGGTTGCTCCATACGGCTATTAAGATTCAGCTAGAAAATCAATCGTACTTTTTGTGTCAAAAATCATATTCTCATTCTTCACTGCACCACACACAGATCTTCTCCATCGAATCACCATATTGATCACGTTTCAACGATCAAGGAGTGTGTTGTATCTTGGACGACGCGTTGTTTATTTGTAGTCGTTCCTTCTGTTGTGTTTTTTTCCTTTTTTTCCCTCCACATAAAGAATAGATTAAAGGCAAATGAACAAAAAAAAATATATGCATTCATCTCAATCGAACAATTTGAATCATATTCGATTTATTAGCAAATTCATATGATATGACCAATCTGTCACAAAAGCGACTATCAGTCAGAAAACTCGAATGAGTTTCGATGATTTTATATATTTATACTAAACTATCACGACTCTTCTCACTTTTTTATCCTTCTTTTTCTTTTATTCTCCCATGTGATTTCGTTCGTTAACATCAACCATGCGATGACTTACCATATGGACACCACAATGCAGAGGAAAGAAAAAAAATAAATGGTATAAGTTCGCAATATTGCGATAAAACACACTTCAAACAACGATGTGACGCACATCTCATTTGAGTATTATATCTACTTCGCGAAGAAAGAGCGCTTTTTCTTTCTACACGTTAGAAAAAGTGTCAGTTATCTAATAAGCAAGCGAGTTTCATTCATCAATTCACGTAGTGCACTCGATCACCGATAAAACCATACCTAAAGTTTATTATTCAAAGTTTTCTTTGAGAGTAAGTAGGTTGTCGGCAATAATTAAATATTTTGCTTCAATCTAAGATAAATAAGTAATGTCTAGCTGTGATTGAATTGATAAACAAGAACACGAGACAATAAGTTGCCTCTTTTTCTACAGCCTACGAAGTTTTCATCATAGGATACATGAGTAGATGAAGAGAAGTTCAACACTGATCCCATCACACATCTTCACCAGTATCATATAGTAGTATCTGAGGTTTTGTTATTAATTGAATGTAGATCTGTAAAATATGTTAGTGGATAAAAGAATTCAATAATCCTTGTCATTCCGTCTCTATTAATCTGTTTAGTTTATGTCTTCTGCTTCTAATTATATACATTGTCCTCCTATTTCAAAGAACTAAGAACATAATCTTTAAGCAGTATAATTGGGTGTCATAGATTATACTATTAAGCAATAAGTAGGGCTTGCTTTTTTTTGTATTGACTATTATTTAAATTTTTTCTGCTTTCAAATTAGATTTTGAAAAGTTCCACTCAGTCATGCCCACTCTTACTAATCGAGTAAAAATTTGTCATTCTTTGAACATTCTCGAAAGTTTTCTTCTCAAGGATATGATTGATGTAATGGTTAAATATAGTCTCAAGTTGTGGCTTGCACAACTGTCAAGAGATTCCACACTATATCGATGAGTTTAAGAACTCCTTTGTCTTTCAGATTTAAGATCATTGTAGATGATTTATTAGAGATTTAAATCACTTTGAATACGGTTCATTTCCGTGATATTAGATAGGAAAAATTTAAATATGTATTCAAAAGAAGAAAAAATGGGAAAATGTAAATTTTCCTATTTGGTAGAAAGGCAAGAGGGTAGTTTTTCAACTATGAGATTATCAATATGAAAAACGATCTGCCCATTTTCATTGATTTTCATGTGTAAAATTTCGTTTAAGGGGGCCCACCCTCAGAAACAATCTAGTCAATTCATTACCATTTAAACAAGAAAGGATTTCACAATAAAGATACGAGCTAACAAGTCCAGGCGGTTTTCAAGTTGTAGAGTGTCCTTAGGGCTAGAACTTCTTAGGATCCGATTTCTGAATTTCTCTTTATTTGATTTTTAAAAAACGTTTTTCGAACAATTTTCAAATTCAAAATGTTAATAAAAATGAAATATCGAAGTTTTTTATTGTTTTAACAAAAGAAAAGTTTAAATATGACAGTCTGTTAAGTTCTAGCTCCACTTATCTCCCGTATAGTAAAAAAAAATTTATCACTTTCATATCAAATTGTTATGGAGAAAGACCTGCTCCTGTAAACTGCATGCACGAAAAAACTGATTCTGAGAAAACCGAAAACTAAGTAATAGACACCAATTTTTCCGAAAGTCACTTGATTGATATATCAGTGTTCAAGACAGGCTATAAATATGTGATCTTAATATTAGGCTTTAATAGTTTCGTAGTGATTAGTATAAAAAAAACTTTACAAAATGCTGTTGCAAAGAGAAAGGAGCCTAAAAAGTCAAAAAAGCTTGAAGAAAAACCATGAAAATTTCTTGAAAAATCTGATAGTGGAATCCAACCTTTAGACGATAAGTTCGTCAAAATCAACGCATTTTTTAGATAAACCATTGATATTCTGCAAAAGAAGAGTTCACTATATCTTTCTGTGATAAAACTTCAATCTCGACTTATCTCTGAAAAATTGAATTTTCTAAGGAAGAGAAGAGACTTAAATGAAAACATACTGAGTCTATTAATCATCTTAATGTTAAAAGGCATTAAAAAATACGCTGAACATTGCAGAAGCTTCGGGCTCCAAGATAACTAGTAGCTATGTAGGGATTGATAATAAAGCTTTGGTTCTTCGCATGACTGTCACCTTCTCTCAAGAAGATCTTAGCAATGAAGCAAAGAAGCAGTTCAAATACTACGATGAGATTCTGCGTACATTTCAATTATATGCAAATCATATACTCGCCAATAATCGGCTGTCACCAATCGGACGCCATCTCGTATGCACAACATTTGAGAAAAATTATACGAATTCAAAGCTTGCACTCAACTACACAGCTGCCCATCCAGAACTGAAAATGACAGAAAATACGATGTCACATCCACTTGTTTTATGTGGTCTTCCCCGCACTGGTTCAACGCTTCTCTATAACTTACTTGCCTGTGATCCAGCATCTCGAGCAATCATCTATACGGAAATGACACAACCCGTACCACCAGTGGCACGGTGCGATACTGCCGGACAGATACAACGTAATATTGCTGGGCGGCAATATCGTGACATGTTGTATAGTTTTGGCTTGACCGACTCTCTACGAGAGATGTATGCTTCTCATCCTATCTTTTCATATGAAGAAGATTTACTTATTCTTTTCCATACCGGATGGAGTTGGTTTCATAGTCTGCTCGCACCTCACGACGATAATGAACTTGCCATGTGGTTAGAAGATAATAGGAACAAGAATTTTGTTTATGAATATCACAAGACATTCATACAAATGTTAAACAGTATCGATGCATCTCGCTCTCATTGGATCTTTAAAACACCATTTCATAGCTTGTACATCGATCAACTCATGCATCAATATCCATCAGCCTTACTCATCATGACCCATCGCCGACTAGACGAGGTACTACTTTCGTTTTGTCATTTATCAATTGCATGCGGAAGTCCATACTTCGACAAGAACAAAGATGATACAGCAGTTGACATTCAGACACTTGTAAAACGCACATTACATTTGGCGGATGTTATGAGTCATCGTCTTGTCAACTTTCGACGTACTCATCAATATATTCCTTGTTTTGATGTATTGTATGACGACCTAGTCGCTCAGCCAATCGATACAGTTCGTCAAATTTACAAATACTTTGGTCTTGTCTGGTCGGAAGAATTCGAACAGGCTATGACAGTATGGCTACATGACAATCCACAAGAAAAATACGGTCGCAATTCCTACACACTTGCCAGTTATGGATTATCGTGCGCCGACATTGAACAACGCTATAAGGAGTATAATAGTATGTTTCTCAATTCGCGAAATTCGACCAGCACACAGTGTGATACGAAAAAAGATGTGAGTTCTTTGATGACTTCAACTGACTCGTCATCCAGCGACTCGAATAACAATGACTGAAATGATCCATTGGCTAACTAATATTATTTACTTTCATACCCTCCGATTTCTGTTTTATCTCTTATCTAAACAGAAATAAACAAGCATCATCGTAGTATTCAAGTCAACTAGCAGTAATAATTTGATAGTTGAGTGTGTCGGTGCGGTTATGAATGTGAATAGGTGTGGGGCGTGGGTGCAGTTGCGGATGCCGATACATGTGGATGTATTTAGGGTGTGTGTGGGTGTGAATGAGCATGCATGTGAGTGCGTGTGGCTGTGGGGTGTAGGTGTGTGAGTAAGAGATAAATGATACCCACACCCAGACTCACATCCCACACCCACACCCACACTCGCATCCCACATCCACACCTACACCCACACCCACACCCACACCCA